ACTAACCAATAATATAACCTATGCTTGCAAATTGGTCAGTATTACAGCCATCGATGAATCGTTCATGGCTTTTATTATACAAATACCCATTGATATCGGACTAAGGGAAATAACAACGCAGCTAAAAGTGTTATCTAATAGGCGTGAGAACATTTTCGGTTGCAATAGCTTCCTGCCAGTAAACTCCCAACATTGAATTAACAACGTAAAATAATCGTTAGTTTTGATATCTGACTAAAGGGACCATCTTCTTTGAAACTCTTTATTTTCAACTACTCTGATCAAAGCTGAAACTGTCGCAGAGTACTATAATTATGAAAAAATGTAATTTAATATAGAGATAACATTCGCTCATTAACTGTTCAGAAAAGATTTCACCAAGCCGTTATTTATTTACTATTTCGAATAAGACTTAGCGAAGCATCGGCCAAAAATGTTTGTTGGGTAGTTCTTCCTCCACAAAGGTTGGGCTTTAATTTTACGAGTCAAACAGAAAACCCACCAGTTTAAAATCGTCTTCGAATGAGTGATGAATTTTAGACTAAACTGTAACAGAATAACACTCGATGCTGCGAGATTTCCATCCTTGACTTTGTCTCGTCCAGTCAATGAAGACGATCTTCTCGTTACCCCATTTTTACAACAGGCGAATCGATATAACCGGTAAAAATCTGAAATTATATCCGTTCAAGGATTGCCCGACTTCCTCAAAATTATTTGGGAAATAACAACATATTTTCTCACTGAAACAGTGATGCTTTAATGCCCTCTCCCAAGACAATATTAAATTCTAATTAGACTATCTAAAAATTTTACTTTTTAATTATACTTACTATTTGACAAACTCAACTGTCAAAAGTAAGGAGCTTATACTATCCACATTCTTCTAGATAATTGAAGCAGTTTTCAACCAGTAAGACTTAATCTAGATAATGGCTAGTTTTAAATTAAGTTGCAATATGAATAGAACCTGCAAGTGCAGACTATTTGAGGTTCAATCTTCTTTATATCAATATATTCGATTTAAATTTACAAAATTGCACCAACAATACATTTCTCTGGCATATTTACTTGAGTCAACTTCTGAGCAGCTTGTCTCTCAATTCCTTCTAACACTTCCTCTCATTTCATATTTCCTTATAAATGTTAGGGATCCAGGATATTTGGCGAATTTAAAAGAACGAAAGTGCGTCAAGCATTATCATAGGACTACCTATAAGCAGCTACCAGAGTACTTTAATTAAAATTGTATTTGGTGTTTGTAACTCAGGAAGTGCTAATATACAAGTATGTTAGTGGCATAAACTTTAATTAAAGTTATTTAGTTATTATTTAAATTGAAAAAAGTAAAATAATGCCGAATCAAACTATTTACGAAATTTCCCTGGAAGCTCTTTCTCAACTAGTAATGACTTTGAGTGACCACACAGATCTACAGAGTGAGACTTCCTCTGACTTCCTTCTGACCTTCTGACCACTCATCGATTTATCAAAATTTAAGTTAATATTTAGTTGTGTTACCACAATTTACCTATTTCCCAAAATGTAATCCCGCCTTTGAGATGAGGCTTAATCTAGCCTATAATTTATATTGACGTCATTAAAGATTTAGTGAATAACATTTTTAATATAAAATATTATATAAAATTTTGTGTTAAACTTCAAAAAACTAAATTCGCTGAATTCGTATTGATGAAATCAGTTTATGGTGATGATTGTCTGAGTCGTATTTAAGTTTATAAGTGATTTACGTGATTCAACAATGGCCGTGAAGATTTAAATAATGTATTTCGTCATGGTCGTTCAGAAGCTAGTAATATTAGGTCGAGTAAAAAGTTTGGTTTGTTTTTTGATTTTTCAAAAGATGATAACTTTGTGTACAATTGGCCGATTTAAGTCAAATATGCGCCGTTTTGTTCGTAAACTTGTTGCCAACGAGATGCCAACTTCAGTATACCCCTTTCGTAGAAGACTGCGTCTCTCCCGTCGGAGAGCCAATTTTCACAGGCCTCTCTTGAGGACAACTTCTCACCATTAAGCGCGTTCGCTATAGACAGGAAAATATGGTAATCACTTGGTGCCAGGTCCGGACTATAAGGTGGTTGCATTAAGACCTCCCGGAGCTTCTGGCACGTCACCAAAGACGTTTGTGGCGTGGCGTTGTCCTGATGGAACACAATTCGTTCCTCTGTTGATTAAAGATGGCCTCTTCTGGATGAGTGCTGCCTTCAAGCGATCCAGTTGTTGGCAGTAGAGGGTCGAATTGAGCGTTTTGCCATAGGGGAGCAGCTCGTAGTAGATGATTCCTTGCCAATCCCCCCAAACACACAGCAAAACCTTCTTGGCCGTCAATCCGGTCATGGCCACCGTCTGGGCCGCTTCCCCGAGCTTTGACCACGACCGTTTGCCTTCGTAAGTGACCCATTTTTCATCGCCAGTCACAATCCGCTTCAGAAACGGGTCGATTTTGTTGCGATTCAGCCGCGATTCACGGATGGAAATTCGGTCCATCATGTTTTTTTGCGTTAGTTCGTGTGGCACTCAAACATCGAGCTTCTTCTTCTTTTTTTGAATCCAAAGTTATGCAAATGGTTCCAAACGGTTTTTAGGCTTATCTTTAGTTCCTCAGCAATTAAATAAGTGCTCACGTGATGGTCTCTTTCCACTATTTCCATGATTTTATCGCGCAATTTTCGACAACAGGCCTCCCGACGCGTGAAGCATCTTTGCCATCGAAATTACCGGAACGGAACCTAGCAAACCACTTATGTGCTACACTTTCGTTTACAGTATCGGGCCCATAAACTAAATTAATTTTTCCAGCCGCTTTGGTTGCTTTTTCGCCTGAATCGAAGAACTATTGTAAAATATAGCGAATTTTCTTTTTGCTGGTGTCCATCTTTGACGATCGCTCATGATATGACATGATGCGACACGTAACACTAGTAGTATGAACAATAACGCCATCTCTTAGATAAAAACTGAACGAACCTTTTACTTGACCTAATATAATTGCGCTGAATAGGTGGAAAAAGTCCGTGAAATTATTGGTATCGATGCAAATTTTGTTACGAAAATGTTGACTGAAAGTTTAAATACACGTAAAACCTCTTCAGCCACCCTCAGTATTCGTCTGATATATTCACCCATATGCATTACGTACTACAATACATGTCCAAAAAGTTCAGTTACTCACCGTGTATATTATTTTCATCAATTAACTTTTATTTTCGTGCGTAACCTTAAAAACCTATTAGATAAATCAGAGAAATTAAACTTATTTTTTATTTTTTTTATAACTAGTAACATTATACATTGTCTAAGACATTAATTTATCGAAAAAAAACTTAACTTAAGGTAAAATCTAAGTTATGAATAAAAAAAAAATGTACCTTTCCTTTGGCTTAGAATCCCAGTTTTAGGAACAAAAAACATCGTAGGTGCTAGAAACTAGCCATAAATACTTATCTAGTAACTAATAACAAAAAATAAAATTATAAAATCAGCTGGCTTCATGAGATCAAATAATTTAAATAATCATCATCTAGTGCGCACACGCTTTACCCTTATGATGAGGGAGGAAGAGTCACATAAGACAACTTATAATGACATCATAAAAGCGAATCAAAGCATAAAGGATACTCTAATAGCTCAAACAGTCACCGACATTCCTCCCTTCCGTACGTCAGCTGTTAAGACCTATCTTATGAGAGCGCAATGCATTATAGATAAAATGATCCGAAACTCATCTCTTTGCCATTCGAGAGAGCTCATGAACTTTCAGTACTGCCAAGAAAAACCACGAGTTCATGAGCTACTGAACAGATGACAACCAAAACAATGAACTGCCAGATAAAATCCCGTTAAAATTAACTGACAAAATCAGTTCATTATTTTTCGTAAGAAGTGTGATATTGTTAATTAAAAATATTTGTATAGTGTGTTTATATATAAAATAAAATTGAGTAGGTTGTAAAATATCTTCAAATCCCTACGGAAGCATATGTGTGTAAACTTTATTTTTTGAATTTTTTTCCCATATACCTATGTAAATATATAAAGTTGAGTTATTTTCAAAGCTCTTATTTTCTTTTCGGTCCTTATAGTTTTAAATAATTAATTATTACTGTAAACTGGGTGTAGGATATTTTCTATATATGTAAATATTAGGCATTAGTTATATTTATTTTTTTATTTTAAATATTTGCTGTCCATAGCTTTATTATACTTATGTGAATGTGATATCTTGTTTATAAAATTTTACGTTTTTTCTTATATGATGAATTTTGTATATTTTTATATTAATTTGTGAATTTTGGAAATTATTGTGATTTTATTTTGTACCTATATGGGTGATATAGGCCTACGGGGGAACCGAGCACCCAAAACTAACTTCGGTAACTCGCCTTTTGTATACCTCAGCGGTGGTGTGGAAATTACAAATTCCCAAAAAATGTAATAAAAATTCCCTAACTTATTTCTTTCCACAGTGGCACCACTGTCAAATGTTATAAAAAATGTGGACTTTTACAGCGCTCTCTCGATTCAAAGAGTTTCGGATCATATTATCCATGCAATGCATGACTGTACGGTACGATATCCGCGAAAATTGGATTTTTTCCGTAGAAACGAGGGAGCTGAGAGTGAGAGAGCAATCTTTTGCAACGCAGGGTTGCCAATCTCGATATTTTGTAGTAATTAAAAAATGAACTTGAATATATTTAAAATATTATTAAAATAACTCAAAATCACAGACGAATACATTTATTTATAAATAGGTAGACTATTTTTAAAATAATGGATTTTAGTTTTGAGCTATTGAATGAAAATTATATATTATTATGAAAAATTATAACTAAAAAACTAAATGTATGCAAAATCTTGTATACAATTGAACATGGCAACATTGGTGAAATCAAAACAAAAGAGAACAGCTGATTTCTGCGTTGCAACTACTTTTGACAAAATTGGTTTGATACGGGCGGTAAGTATGGGAGGAATGCCGGTGACTGTTTGATTGGTAATTTCTCTGCTCTCTTACATGTAAAAGCAACAACAAAGTTATCGAGTTGACTTGAAGTAGGAGTGTATGCGGATACTTTATAAAGTAGTATAATTTTTATCTGCAATGCTGCCAAGTTTTGTTTTGCATATTTTTGTTCACTTTTTCTATTGTGAAGGGTTCAAGTGGCAAATGGAATTACAAATTTAAAATCAATTATAATAATTTATAGAACACCCAAATAAATGGTTACATCAACGTTTTTTAACGCTAAAAAAATAATTTCTCCACTAAGAAAGCATCATAGCACTATTGCGCATGCGTTAGTGCAAGGTTGTACCACAAGCGCTGTCCGTTTGTTTGAGCAACTGGTATAGCTTGTTCAATTCGCTGGGAAGTAACGCTTGGCGAATCGAAGACAACCAGTAACTCACAAGATTTGAAACGATTTATCGAAGACAAAACCGCGGTGAAGGACCTAAGTGGAGAATTCAATTCCCACAACAGCCGGTTCTGCGATACCGGAATTGACCCGGATTTTATCCGGCCAAGGGCTGTTATTTCGACGATCTAACCCTGTTTGGATCGGTAAGTTTAGATTAAGTTTGTCGTCACTGGACACGCCTAGCAGCAGGGTTGCTCCGTATCTCCTGACCCGTGCTGGCATCGAGTCCAACCGGCCCCGAGGTATTCTACTGCTGCGTATGCGCAAAAGGCTCCATCCAAATTCCACCTCGGTTAGGTGCAATACATGCAATGGATGGAGCCATCTTAAGACCTGCCGGCCTTAAGACACAAGGGAGTGGACCACGAGTTACGTGGCCCCATGCTGTCAACGCAATAATGCGAAGTCTGCCTCAACGGCCGTGCAACCTGCACCATGTTCGCGCACTGCGCTGCCACTCCAGTCGAGTGGCCAAGATAGGACCTCCACGGTCCTAAGGAGCTCACAAAGACAGCAACAACTCCAATCTGACCAACCTCCCCCCCCACCTTCATCCAGCTCCAATCCCGTGCGAGAACCACACAGCAACTCCTGGTTCCTCGCACAGTCTGTTCCGTGTGTCAGACCATAATACGCCGGAACGTCACATCAGTCAGTGCATCTTGTACTGGCTGGTGTCATTCTGTCGTGTTCTGGCCTGCGCACCACACGAGAGTGGAGTGCGTCGTATGTTGCCCATGCTGTGGAGTCTGCCCCGCAATCACAAGCAGTGGCGTCGCCAACCAACACCATAGTGCGACAACCGCCCATGCGGATAGCACAGCTGCAACAACCACCACCTACAAGCACCCCAGGATCACGACTGACACCCGCGACAAACGCGACTTTACAATTTAACTGCAAGGACTCAGAGCAAGATCGAGGAGATAGTTGCATTTATGAGCCGGGAGCGCGTAACGATAGCTGCGGTCCAAGAAACCAAGTTAAATAGCCGCTCAGATCTTCTGAGTTGTGCAGGTTTCAACGTTTTACGTAAGGATCGCGAGCGGATAATGGTGGAGGCCTAGCCTTCATATTGCACAACACCGTGCAATATCGTCTAATCGATGTTGACATCGACCGCAGGGCACACTACCCTAGAATGTCAGGAATAGCTGTCCGGTCAGGCGATGTCGAGCTCGAAATATTTAATATATACATCCCCCAGTTACATGTTGCCCAACAGATATCACCCGAATATAGATGCGCTACTTCGTGTGAAACCGTCTGGTGCTAGGCGACTTTAACGCGCATCACCGATCTTTGGCATTCCTGCCTGTCAAACGATCGTAGGGGATGGACTGGCGGAACAGATAGACGATTCGACATTCTGCACAATGAATGACGAAGCCCCCACCAGAATTATGGGCACTGAATAGCTCGCCAGATATTACCATCGCTAGCTAACCTGGCGACCTATGCTAACTCTTGCATCAGACCATCTGCCCATAATTATCTCGTTCGAGAAACTCCTGACTTTATTTCTGTGGATAACCGCACCTATGTTAACTTTAACAAAGCTAACTGGGTCGGCTTCACAGAATTTACTGAGAGCACCTTCAACGCACTATCCATTCTACGGACGTCATCGTTGGCGAGCGTCAATTCCGCAAGGTGATCGCTGCTGCTACAGCTCGCTTCATACCGGCTGGAAGAATAGCGGAACTCCGCCCTAATCCCTGCGAAGCAGCTGTATTAGCAAATGAGCGCGACACTTACGCCATGCCGATCCCTGTGATCCCCGAATAAGGATCTCAATTTGGGAGATGGTAAACCATCATAAGCGGACAAATGGATAGAGCACCTGAAGTCCTGCAACTCTCCACCGGTGTGATAAGCTTGGACTACTGCAAGACCCTGTCAAATCCGAGGAAACATGACGATCGGGTTGAAATCCAATTCGATGGCCATGCCTCCTCGACCCGAAGAAGTGCGCGAGCTACTTTAGCCGCAGTTTATACTGCACCCTTCGACCGACAAGGCCAAACGAGTGTACCCGACGGTTGCGCAAAAGCCAAAGACTGCCGCACCACTTACTTTCACCGATGAGAGGTTCAGAGTGTCATCAAAAGGCGAAATCGTCTAATCCATCGGCCCTGACGGAATAAACATGCTGATGTTAAACATCTAGGCCAACGGAGTAAACTACCCAAGGTCCTCAACCTGTCGATATCCACTCTTCAAATACCCGATGTGGAAAGTCGGAAGAGTGGTCCCACTGCTGAAACCTGGAAAACCCGCCAACAAGGGGAGTCTTATCGCCCGATACTCTCCTTTCCCAGTAGTGAAGACACTTGAGGCCTTGTTACTCCCATTCACCCACCACCTGAGCCTAGCAGACATCAGCATGGTTTCGTAAAGTGCACAGTACCACCAAGCACTTAGCGTCATAAACGCCCAGATAGTTCATGGCCTGAACCAGAAGCCACCTGCGAAGGACGATCCTCGTAGCGTTGACTTGCAAAAGCTTTGACACAGTCAATCACGCAACGCTACTTGAGGACCTGGAACAATCAACGCTCCCTCCAGGGCTGAAGCGGTGGACCATGAACTACCTGACGGTCGACACTCATCCGTACTATTTCGAGGTCAAAACTCCAAACTCAGGAAAATTAAAAAGGGGTTCCGCAGGGCGGTGTCCTCCCCGCTACTGTTTAATTCTACATTTCGAAACTCCCCCAGCCACCAGCGGGAATTTCAATGACCTCGTACGCAGATGACTGTACGATATTGACGTCGGGCAATGGAATCGATGCATGTGTTCAAAAGTAAACGGCTACCTCTCCGATCTTCTCGCTTCTTTCTACAAGAACTTAACACTCTCCCCACTAAATCCACAGCGACCATCTTCACCAATTGGACGAAGGAGTACAGACTGGACCTGAACATTTCAGTCGATGCACAAAAATTCCGACAGTAAATAACCTAAAATTTTAGGCGTCACTTTAGACAGTTGTGCTTTTCCTCTCACACGACCGCGATAACTGCCAAAGTACAGAGCCGCAAACAAAATCCTCAGTCGCTTGCGGCAGCTCATGGGGAAAGGACAAAGAAACGTTGTTGGCAACATACAAGGCAATCGGCCGACCGGTCCTCAATTATGCAGCCGCAATATGGTCGCCTGGATGCAGTGACACAGACAGTGACAGAATAAGAAGCTTCAGACTTGTCAGAACACTGCACTCCGGACTATCACGGGGTGCCTCTTGATGTCCCAATCGAAACCTACATAGCGAGGCCGTATGCTTCCGGTTAAGAATAATGAGCTCCTCTCCAAGCAGTTTCTGCTGGGATGTTTCGCAGAAACCACCCTGCAGACGCCTGCTTGCAGCGGAGCAGCCTCCTAGAACATCAAGAGGTCCTTCCTTGACTACGTCGACGACATCAGACAGCACGTCGACCAACTTCGGACGCAACTAACTTCAGACAAGCACTGACCCGCATTCACAGTGGAGCCATTAACACCTTCACCGACTCCCTTTCAGTGAATGGCGTAATACGATCAAACCACACCCTTGCAGACACAGAGCTCGAGTTGCCTCGCGAATCTAGAGTGACCCTCGCGCAACTTCGTTCTGGATACTGTAGCAGGTTAAACTCCTACCTATCCAGAATAGACCCTGACATACTAAACACATGTCCTGCATGCAATGAGTCTCCGCATGACACTAACCACCTCTTTGCATGCCCTACAAACCCCACTCATCTAACACCCCTTTCCCTATGGTCCGACCCCGTCGAAACAGCTCATTTCCTGGGCCTTCCGTTAGATGACCTCGACGACAACGAATCTAGAATTTATCACCCAAACGGGGATTAGATAATCGTTATAACAACAACAACCTAAGTGGAGAATCAATTAGATTAGAGGTGTCACAATGTGAAAAAAACGACGAAAAGTTATTGGGGAGTTTCTCGAAATTCCTTAAAATGTTACAGAAGCGATGAAGGAACAGAGGCATAACGATTTTTAGGAACTAATTTTATTGTTCCAAAAACAGGGGAAACGATCACGTTAACTGCAAATCACAGAAGTATTTCAAAATAAAAGAAACAGTTCACATTTTATCCATTTTTCAGAAAAATAAATTTCTACATTTTCCGATTCTTTTATACAAAACTAAAATGTTTAAAATGAAAGCAAATGAAATTATTAAACCTACAATAATTTGCAACTTAGACAACACTTTTGACTCAAATTATTACTATATATTTGCTTCTTTATTCAAATTGCTCCTTTATATTCTGCTCGACACCCATTTGGTTCATGAAGGTATATAAGGTAAATGAGAACTTGGCGATCTTGAAAGAAACAGGAATTGAAATTATTTCTCTCTTATAAAATTGTGAGAGTTTTTTATACACTCTCATTCCACGACTTACCGACAAATTAGTTCCCAAATTAATTTTAAAAAACTTAAGAGCTACGAAAGAGATTTCCTCCTGAGCGTGATGTAGAAAATAGATCAGCACACGACGCGAACGTTTATCCAAAGCTAACCAATTGCAATGGAAGATCGCATTGGGCAACTTTTCGCAGTCCAACTCGAGCATCGACGCCTGATAGCAAGTGACTGAGGTTTGCAACAACACACAAAGGTAATAAACAATCGAAATTACCCGATGACTCGCGTCGGCAAATATGAAAATATTGAGCATGCTGACACAGAGTACAGCGGCAGCTATTATAAACTGTATAAAGATGGTGAGCGATAGCACAGAGCCAACAATCCTAGAGATTCTGTTAGTCGAGAGAGAAAACACAGATTTATGAATGAGCAATGCTTAGCACATAAAGGTAAATCTTACTGCAATAATTCCTGATGCGACCGCACGCAATCAATTAATTCCTGATAATTGTCCTCGTCGGTGAGATTCGGATTCTCCCCCAACCTACTCACGCGCTCAGTAAGCAGAGTAATATGTGTACGTACGGCTTTGATATAAACAACCGGATATAGATCGCTCATGCATTGAATGGTCAGCAAAAAGTATATATAAATCAGTTCGATGAGAAAATGAAGACAAAAGTGTATGGTCGGCTGTTGAATCCAGTCAACAAGTGGGAGCCATATGTTTAGCGGTTGAGTGTGCGTAAAAAGCGATGGTAGCCAAGAAATGGTGGCATAAGTGAAATATGAAACGATAAAAGTTACAAATAAGCGTGCCGATTGTATAACGTTTTCTCTTATTGCTAAACGTTCTTCCGGAGTCTGATAGCGTGCATCCAAAATTTTGAAAATCGGGTCGACACTACGTAGACGAGATAAGTAACAGGCTGCAACGACCGCCTTCATCGGTAGACCCGTCACATTGATTGCCGCTTGTAGAGTAGTTAATATAACGGTCATAGATGAATTTCGCATAATTAGCATGACGCCGACATTAAAAGCCACCGGGCTCATGAGCAGCCAAGTCCAGCCGAACGCCATGGGCCATAATCGACGGAATCCGTAGGGTTTCAATGGTTTTATACCCATTAGTGACCAACACCAAAATATAAGCTGAAACGATTCCTTTGTCTCGAAATTTTTATTACCACGTCCATAATATAAATCCAAGATTGTACGCATGTTTCTCGAAAGTTTTGCTCTGGATGTACCACATAAAAATAATAAAAGAAACGTTTACAGATATTCCGAAAACATATACTTATTTATAAAAAAGAATAAGATAAAACAAAAACTAGGAACAAAAACCATCCTTGACATCATAAAATCATAATTAATCTGAATTTTGTTATTGAAGCATCGATTTGTGGAAACTAGATTGAAAGGCTGCCTTTTGTGGTCATGATTCCAATATAGACTGTGGGTTTAATGTAGCCGTAGAAAAAATATTAGCTTGAAGCCAAATTTGTAAACTCACTGCGCCGTCAACCATTTTCGCCTTTACCACTAGTTTTACCATTAGTTAAGTACGGCTATCAAGAAAGAACCTCCGCAAGAGTGACAAGCTGTAGCTTCATTAACTTTAGATGTCGCTATCTTCCTACTCGAAATCAGAAAGGTTTATGCCTTATTAATATTTGTTCAAATATTGTGTATATATTAAGCAAGACCGATGTATGACGTTTATAGGCCTAATAAAGATGATCTAAGTGATCTATACCCTTTTTTAATTAACTTTAATTTATTAAATCCACAAATCCATCCTGAAGCTCCTGACCTTACTAGTAATAACGCAACAATCATGAGATCAACCTTTTTTGATAATTTATTTCAGGTTTCAGCACACGCTCCACTTTCAAGCTCTCACATTTCTTGTGCCTTTCACATCCGCACTCAAGGATAACCATGCTGACGTACAGCATACTTTATCTCAACCTGACTAGATTGGACTGCAGTTTGTTCTAAGATTCGATTCTATCTTCTGCTAGAACAATATTAAAAGCACCTTGTGTTTGGTGGAGAAATCTTAATGCGCCGAAAAATGTTGTGTAATTATGAATACTTTAGAACAGTATAAGAAATAATTTTTATTTTGGTTTAATTTCTTAAACTTATTCAACTCTTATTCCAGTAGCAATGAATTTTTAATTAATAAAATGGACCCGCGCGATCAGCGATTAACGTACAGAACTACTTCGACTAAGCAAAAGGTAACTTAATTATAAAAATTAACCTTAGATATAACCCAAAGAAAATAACAAGTAAGGAAGAGCTAAGTCCGGGTGTAACTGAACTTGCCAGGATCAAAGCTGGGGAAATACCTTATGCGCAAGATACATTGTTATTAGATGGTATAAAGTCAGCTGGAAGTTCGAAAATCTTTCTATTAGGTAAGGGAATTGTTGATTCGATTCAACCCATTTTTGACATATAGACCTACTATTATCATAAAAGGCTTCTTTCCAAATTTCTATAATATAATATATCTCACATATTTGCCGATATTTTAAAAGTTCATATTCGGTGTCTGGGAACTAGAGAAGTTTTTCTTCGATGTGAAGAATTTTTGGTCATAAGGTGGCACATCTCAAATGGAATATTCGTCTCTGGCGCATTTAATTATTGATTTATCACTCTTTAAGTAGTTTTTAACAAAACCGTTACATGGAAAGTGGGCGGGGTTATCATCCGATTTCACCTATTTTCACACTGTCGACAGGGATGCTAAAAATATTTGTCCTTGTTTGAGTGTTATAGTGTTATATATTTCTCTCTTTATAAAACCTTCTTGTCATCCGATACCTCTAAAAAACTGCACTTTACAAATCTTTCGCAAAAAGCTTTCGAAACTTTATAGAGTTTTTTTGTACTGAGAAAACTAAGAGTTCTAGTTACATTTTAGATTACCTGGGGTCTTTAGTTCGAAAGCAGTACTTTAAAAGACACTACAGTATCCCAAGCTTAATTGATCCCCGGTTAATTGATTTCTCCGCATAATTGGTTAAAAATATGTGTTATTGAAAAAAAAACATACCTTTAACTTCCCCCGGTGAATTGTACAAAAAACTTTCGTTAAAAAAGTGATCTAGCATTGCCGCACATACATACATATTTCACAGCAATTGTGATAAGCAGCAGTTAGTATCTCTGCAAAGCAATTGAATACATACATACATATACGTATGTTTATTGGATATGTTTTAAATGACGCTGATGTTGAGGAGCAAGAGAATGAATATGGTAACTCTTTCAGTTCTTGAATTTTTAAATATATACAAGAACTTCAAACATATTTTTATTCAGAAAACAAGTTTTTGTGTGAATAAGGAAATATGAAATCGCATGTTATATCTTGTAAATTGAACAATAACAGATAAAAATTACAGACTTATTCAGTTAACTTTTTAAAAATGTACGCAATGATCTCTAAATATGTGCATGCATCTGATGTATACGAGTTTATAAAATAATATGAACTACTTTGTTCCTAGTATTTTTTTTATAACAATGATATATGCATTGTAAAATGCACATATTATTATTTCGCGTTCGGCAACTTAGCGCTGTCTGCCCCGAGCGTTGTTATTTGATAACAGCTAGGTACAGTTTGCATCAAAACACACAGATATCTAGATTGCAATCGGGATAGCCGTGTGTGTCGTATCGGCGAATATGAATTTGTTATGTATGCTTAACGCATAGAATAATGGCGGCGATTGCGAGTTGCGCCACTCTTATAAATAAAATAATGTTATATATACATACAACTCTTACGTGGAACCACTCACTGCAATATCTGCTTTTGCGATGCTGTACAACTGACTAACTCCCGAAAATTCTGCTCGTCGTTTAAGTTGAAATTTGTGCCCAAACGACTTACACGGTCCGGAACAGCGTAATGTGCGTACGAAAGGCACGTATGTATATATGTATAACCGGAAAGGTATCACTAGCCATATTGGTTTGCAGTAAGAAATGTATAATAAACGTTTCGCAAATAAAGTGTCAACAGAATCGTATGGGCTGATACGGTATCCAATCGATAAAAGGAAACCAAAATGTATCTTGATTGAGCGCAAACACCAAAACTAACCAATAATATAACATTAACCTATGCTTGCTAATTGGTCAGTATTACAGCCATCGTTGAATCGTTCATGGCTTTTATTATACAAATACCCATTGATATCGGACTAAGGGAAATAACAACGCAGCTAAAAGTGTTATGTAATAGGCGTGAGAATCTTTTCGGTTGCAATAGCTTCCTGCCAGTAAACTCCCAACATTGAATTAACGATGGAAAGTAATCGTTAGTTTTGATATCTGACTAACGGGACCATCTTCTTTGAAACTCTTTATTTTCAACTACTCTGATCAAAGCTGAAACTGTCGGAGAGAACTATAATTATGGAAAAATTTTATTTAATAGAGAGAGAACTTTCGCTCATTCAGTGTTCAGAAAAGATTTCACCAAGCCGTTATTTATTTAGTGTTTCAAATAAGACTTAACGAAGCATCCGCCAAAAAATTTTTGCTAAGTAGTTCCCCCTTCTCAAGGTTTGGAGTTCAATTTTACCAGCCTTCGAATGAGTGATGAATTTTAAACACAACTATTCGGCAAACGCTTGAAATATCAAGAAAAGCAAAGATAGACCAAAAAATGGATTAGTTGATAGAAAAGTTAACCCAGCTCAACTAACTCGTCTTAATAAGACCAAAAACGAATTATATTGCTAATCTAACCTATAATTTATTTATCTCGCTCAGGCAATGCAAGATGACCTTCTTATTACTCCATTTCTTCAACAGTAGGATATACAATATATGTATGGCCGGTATAGATCCAAAACTTTATCCTTTCAAGGATTTTCAGAACTCCTGAAAATGATTAGGGGAATATTTTCTGTTGCTGTGACACATTATACCACCTCACTTCAGCAGTGATACTTTATTCACCTCACCCGAGAGAATAATAATATCTAATAAGACAATTTAACCCCTATTGGATATAAAAATGTTGACTTTTTCATTGGAATTATGACGAATATCGTCGACGAAATTTTTGAAAGCTGAAGAGTCAAAAAGTCTATAGAAATAAATTTACGCGTCTCCTTCTAGACAATTCCAGCAATTTTCAACTATAAAGACCGTCTTTTGACAACTTGAGACTTTCCCTGGCCCAGAAGAACACACGTACTCAAAGATTAATACGAATTCAAAATCTCACTTAACTGGTTGAGAGTAGCTAAAAATGTAGGTTATTTGAGGTTAAGTCTGCTTTATATCAATAAAACATTAAAACCTGAAACGCATTTTCTCGAAACGCTGTTTTCAGAGTCAATGAGATAAATTTCTCCGAAATGGCTTGACCGATTGACAAGAATAATAATATCGATTTCTGAAGTGTAATTTTTTTCACAACAAAACTTTTTTTTTGGCAATCCGCTATTTTCCGAACAATCTAAATTTTAACAAGTACTTTGATCACAACCTTTATTCATTTATAGTAATAATAATTTTTTTGTTTTTTGGATTTGAGATAATTTCAAGCAGAAAAATATTCCTCGCAGCTAGACAACTTTTTCGAGGGTCGTCCTGTAAATCGGCTACGGGAGTGTCCGAAAAGTGTCTATATTAAATTCTGTAAATGTACATTATTTTTATTATCTTAAAAAAAATCACAAAAAAACACAATTTTTCTGGCTTGCAAGTAACCCTTTAATGGATCTAATGGTATTAATATTGTCTACAGCACAACAACTTCGCACATTATGTATTGCTAGTTTTTTTACCAGGAACCTTTGATATCTTTTCAGACTTCTTATGATGTTTTCACAATTCGATAACCCAAATCTATTGAATTGAAATTGAATTAATATACAAAATGCCACTAACAATAAATTTCACTGTCTGTTTTACTTGAGTAAAGTCTGAATGACTTGACTCTAAAACCCTTCTGACACTTCGTTTTCATTTCACATGCTCTTATAAATGGTTGGTCGGATTTAATAGACCGAAAGTGCGCCAAGCAATATCGCTATAACAGGACTATAATTAAAATTTTATATGTGTATGCAACATCGGGATTTAATTGCAAAATTTTAATCAACATTTGTCCAACTGAAAGAAGTGGGGTGGCAAGTGACATATCCTTTAATGAAAATTATTTATTTATTATATGAAATGTCATGTAATTTCCAATAATGTCTTTGGATAAAGTATCCTCTACGAAAGAAGTTCCGGCACAAGCTCTTGAATCTTCTGCAGATATTTTCGTTCACACACCACAGCACACCCCTTTGTTCAGGCTTTCCGGTTCAGTATAGTACTAAAGATCTTAAAGCACATGATATCCCATTCATGTAGCGTCCCTGTTCTCACCTAAGTAGTTTCATCGACGTACATATGTACACCCTAAGATATTTGTGAAACTTTATTGTATTCGCTTTCCGAGCGGTTTGCGTTCGTGCTTAGGGCTTTCGGTTAATCGTTTTCATACTTGTATATCGCAAGTGCTACTATAGCTTCATATTGGGACTCCAAAAGCTAAAAGGTTCGTAAAGCCGGAAATTGTAGTTATTGTTCATTGGATTTTTATTACAGCAGCAATCCATAAAACTATTTTGAGAACAAGTTTTTCTTTCTCTACAATAACTTTACCAATATGAACTACAAAACAATTTTTCTATAATTTCGTGCGGGCGGACAGACAATCACCCAGTTTACAAGCAACCGTTAAGTGAACAAAACTATTATACTCTGTATCAACATGATGGAGGGGTATAAAAATATGTACTATATTAAAAAGTTAATAAAGGCTCTGGATAAATTATTTTTCTGAATATTATGTCAATACATGGGCAATTAATTTAATAAACCGCAAATATATAATATGTAAGTCTTTAGTAATATGATCGACGAAAGAGTAATACTTATAGTTAGCAAGCATCGTAACAAGAAAGGAGGGAATTTTCTTCTTTAAGAGCAATATAAAACGAAATACACTGTTGTAAGCTTAGCTAGTACTTACTCAACTAAGAAAAATGCTATTTCTCTAATGAGTTGATTAAATTTTTGGTTTTTTATTCATTATTGAAAGTATATGTTGAAAGTCACTAATATCCTATTTGGGAAAAACGTTAAAACTATTTTGTATCGAATTGAAAAACGACGAACAGTCATCGTCTATATGGTGATTAGCGGAAAACTAAGTAAACTAGCATTTTCTGTTTATTTTTACCCGCAAAAAATAGGTGTTTATTTAGACATGTGGTTTTCAAGATATGTATTAAATTTATTATGAAAATAATGGTTTGCCATTATGTTGTAAAAATGATTTCGGGCAAGTGACTGTCTCGAATAAATTCCAGCCGAGAGGCCCAATTTTCGACCACTTTTTACAGCAATTGAGGACATATGAAGTAGTAATACACGGAATATTCTCAATCAATTGTCTACGTAGACAAGCGACTTCACATAAGCCGACAAAAAATTGTCTATCAGTGTTAAGTCCCACGATAGCGAAATATTGCGCCCACCAAAAGTTTTCTTCAATAAATTTATTGTTGCGTTGGCTGTATGCCATGTAGCGTCTTGTTGGAACCAAAGGTCGTCCACATCAACATCCCCAAGTTCAGGCACGAAAAAGTCATTAATCATTCCTCGGTGACCATTTAGTTTTGGGCCCATTCACCGAAAGGGCGACGCGATTGATGGGTCATCTTCGATACTCTGCTCCACAGCAGCAATAGCGTCTTCGGTGCGCACTATAAGATCATCCATTAGAGTAAACGTGGTGCGAAACCGATCCATTTTTGCTCGAATGACTGACTCTGCCGGGCGATTATTTTTTCTACTAGAAAAAGTTATACACATATTTACTCATACATGTCGGTATGAACTTGTGGAATTATAAAAGCGAAGCTAATTCAATTTATGTTTTTTTTTTCTAATGAGAAGTTAATGAGAAGTTATTGTATTTGGGTAAACACATAGCAACGGGCCACATAGCATCAGTGCACATTGTTATCAGAAAAATATTTCCTCTTAAGTTCAGTAAGATATCTAACACATTGACAGCTATTTTCGGTTCAAAGTTAGCGATAGGCATTGAGGTATATGGGGTTTTAAAAAACTTATGTTCTATTTCACCCATTTTGAGAAAATATTTATTCCGAAATCTCTATTGGTGCTTGATTTATATTATATTTTATAAAGCGAAAGGCTCTAATGGAAATAAAAAGTGTGGGCACTAACACACCCAGGTTCTCGTTTAATACAGAACTCTTACATGGTCCCAGATGCAAAATTCATGTTCCCTGTCTAGAAACTTTGAGAACACAGGTTTTAATTACTAAGGTGATCCTCTGGTGGCTAAGTTAAGTATAAAGTATTTTATAGTTTTTCGCTTAACGAAATTTTATGAACGTGGCAATATTTCGATTTTGTCCATCTGCAATATCCTTTCGTCATAGTGCCGAAGAACATGTGTACCAAATTTCATCGATTTCATCATTTCTTTCGTCATTTCTTTCACGAATAGACCTACGGGCGAACATACAGACACTATACTATCATCCCGATCATTTTGTTATATATATGTATATATAACTTTACGTCTATCTCGATTAGTTTGAGATGTTAGAAACAAACATCCGTTAGATGAACAAAAGTTATATATTCATTTTGCGTGGTGTCAAAGGAAATATTTTGAGTTTAAATTTTCTGCAATCGGTTCCGTAATATCTATATTACTTATGTACATAATAAATAAAATTTCGCATAAAAGAGGACAGTTGTGTATTTATCATTGCTAGTAGCTTAAATAGGTGAAATTAACAGGCGCATAACTTTGCGTAATCATCATAGCTAATAATCTGATTGGGTATATACAGTACCCCGGGATAATTGCACATTAAAAATTGCACAGCTTTTGGTTCAATTAACCGGTGTCATAGGACCGAAATTTGAGTCCGATAGTTTATGTAAATACATATGTACATAGTATATGCCAATAGATTTAGCCTCTAGGAATACGAGGGGTCATTCTCATTTAAAAAAAAAATAGCCCACTGAGAGGCTTCATGCCGATTTCGAAGCTAAATTGGCGATTGTATTAAATCAATAACAATCTTCTCAAGGTAAGAAAGGATTTGAGCGCCATAGCGGTTATCACTTATAAAAAAAACATCTGGATTACTACTGGACTACTGGTAAATAAAAATTTTTGAAACAAGTCGAGCAGGAATTAGCAACATAAAAATAACTTTTTACCTTAATAAAACTCAAAAACACATACGTATGGAAATGTAATCGTTTATTTATGGAATGTTCACAAACGTACATATATTAGCATGTACAACATATTGATAACACGTTTTACTGGTAAGCTCTCCTTTTTTGCTCTCTTTATGCGCACTTATGATTGATAGGTGCCTATGAAAGTGCCACACATGGGGCAGAAATGATTCGCATTTCGGCATGAGTTCATACAGTACGGCAAACAGCAACAACAACTGTATACAAAATATATAACAATTACATATATACATATTTACATTAAGAATGTAAATATAAGTACATACGAGTATATAAGCGTAAATATTTCAATAAGACCCTTACCAAGTCCACGAAAGCAGTATACAAGCCAAATGAGTTTTTGCGGTCGAACGATGTCTAACAGTCGTCTTCACGGTGCATTTACATTGTGGACACCGTATTTCTGTAGATTCTGGCCCCACCGGCGGATTTGGATTCATGGGTATTGTCGAAAAATTAGGCATCTGAGGCCCACCTGTCATCTGTACACCGCTGCTGCTCGGCTGCGTTGAAGTTACATGGTCAGTTTGCATGTAGGCTGATGACGGTGCCGACGCATTGCTCATTTCGCCTTGCAATTCAAGTATGCCAGCATACGGATGCTTATTAGTGACCATATTCAGATCACAACTTTTTATAGCTTTTTATACACACTCTATTCAGAATAACGTCGCTTCCCAACTGTCGTGTAAGAACTGCCGATTAGAACTAAACCGCTGCACTGATTTCGCCTTCGTTCGAGTGAAAGGCGCTAATGGATCTTTCGTATTTTATCAAGTTATTTGAGCGAGAATAGTCGGCTTAGTATTGATGGCTTGGTGTTTGAGGAGCGCTGCTTGTATGACTCAGATATAAACTCTTGCATGAACTATATACTAATTGTATCTATGTAAATTATCGTATACTTATGTATATGCATTCCATATATTTCATACTATAGAATGTGTGCAACAGAGGAAGACTTTGTTGTTTCTTATCGGCAAGTTCACAAACACTAAGAGAGTGGTTTAGTCATGAAATAATTAACAATATTTAAACCCTTAACATTACTGTATTTAATAAAGATTTAGACTCCCCAGTATTTTAGCAATGTTAGAAAAAAAAATTATTTAATTGAAAAAATATTAACGCAATTGAAAGGTGATATACAATAAATAATTACTGCTTTCGGTGAAAGGATTTTTTACAGATTCTAAAACTTTGTCGGGCGTTGATTGAGGGTGGAGAAATATTAGTTTTAATCAATGGCATCATACGAAATTTGCTTCATAAATCTGGATTGAAATTAAAAGGCACATTTAGTGTGACGGCTTAAAATGGGCGATTTGTACATATATCTCACAGATTGACCGATATTTTCGGCAAAATTCAGACATACGCATTGGGGTCCACATATTCGATATATAAGGGCTTGAACAGTTATGGTCCGATTGCGACAATTTTTGGATTCGAGATGGCAACATTAAATGCACTCATTATGCAAAGGATTATCCGAATACTTGATTTGTACTCATGCCCAGTTAAAGGAATTGGTATAAATGAAAATGATAATATTTTGGAAAAAGTTAAACTTTTCAAAACTTCTGAAACGCAGGGACTGTCCTATGAATTGACACTAAAACCTCCGCCAAATATATGATTACAGTGAACATAAACACGTGTGATGGCTTGGTTAATGGGGCAGCTGGACAACTTATGCAAATTGATTTCCATTCTTCTTTTCCAACAATTCTGTGGATTAAATTTTTGGAACCTTCTGTTGGTTTGATAGCACGATCAAAAAAGCCTCATCCTCTAGAAAGTTCTTGGACACCAATTGAAAAAGTTCTAAAATTTTTTCAATATAAAAGAAATGAACAAATTTCAATTGAAAGAAATCAGTTTCCAGTTGTTCCGGCTAAGGGAATAACTATTCATAAAAGTCAGGGTGCCACATATAATAAAGTTGTAGTTCATTCTCGACCCAGAATGCCTAGGGCTTCAATATATGTCGCTTGTAGTCGAGCTACTTCTGCAGAAAGTCTATTCATCATAGGAAATTTCATTCCTCCTAACAAATTTTCTGAATCGGATCCCGTATTTAGGGAACAGAGGGAATTGAACACAAATAAATCTTTGACAACAAGTTTCAATTTTATGATTTCCCGAACATCAGGACATCAAATTTTATTCCATAATGTTCAGAGTCTTCACGCTCACATTAATGATATAAAAAGCGACTGTTTGATGCTATCTTCAGATATTTTATGTTTTGTAGAAACTTGGAGTTATCCTTGCGAAAGTTTTGATATACTCCAATTAACGAGCTGAGGATAGATAGCATGGAAACAACCAACAGAAATAAACGGGGCATTATAATACATGCAAAGCATAGTATTGCTTGCTCTATAGAATCAAAGGCTGTAAAGAAAATTTATTCAGGCCGCAAAGTTTTCGAAGCGGTTTTGTTTAAATGTTTCAATATTAATATTCTGGTTCTATATAGAAATTCAGCTTTCTCAATTCAATTAATTGTAGAACTTCAGGAAGTCCTTACTTCTGAGTTAGCCAATCGAAATGTGCTAATTGTTGGAGATTTTAACATTTGTTTAATGTCTACAGGGACTGCAATAAGAAATCTGCTCCAAGAAAAAAACTTTAGTTCCCTGCTTGGTGCAGAATATTCAACTACACCTGCCGGTACACAAATTGATTGGGCATTTTCAAACATGGATCCTTCCCGAGTAAATGCAATTACTTTTGAGACAGTACACAGCTATCATGACAGTATTTGTGTCTCTATTTCGAACTAAAGTTTTCAGACTTAGTCAATAGTCTTCATTTTTCAAATAATCGAATTGGAATGGTATAGAATTTGTCAGTAGTTTTTAAGACAATTTAAGAAAATATGTAAATAATCTAATAAGAAAATTTAAATTATATAAATTTGTTATTATATATGACATTATTGTATAAATATATGATAGAAATTAAATAGTATATGAAAAATAATATAATTTGATATATGCGTATAGAATCTCTACAAAATTTATTTTAATATTGTAATATTATATACAAATTAATATAATAATATTATATCATTTTTAAAGTTAGCTACATTTATTATTTTAAGCTAAACATACGTATATACTATCGATATAATAAATAAAATGTTATTCATTGTTCAAAACGATTTCTTTTCATACTTCTATCACAGTTGTAATTGATCTATATAAAATCAATTATATAGGTATACAAAAGCATAGAACTATTTGTCATAATTTGAGTAAATTTAATTTAATTGCTCTTAATTATTTTCACTGTGAGTGAAAAGTAAAATAAGCAAAATAGTTCACTTCTAATTATTAAAAATATAAAGAAGTCTCCAACGAATATATCATTTAATTTTATGAGTATAAATGTTCTGTTACATCCGAACTTTTAGCCTCCTTACTTGTTTTCATAATAACGGCATTATAGCATACCTATAGTAATCAAACTCATCTTCATTTCATTAAAGTCGCTTCCGACAATTTTATTATTACTTTCATTGCTATGTATACTTATACGCCCTCAAACTGCTTCAAACTGCAGTTTGGTACTCCAATCAAATTTTATCCCCAAAAATATCCCCATTGTTATAGTGTCCTCATCTAAAACCTTTAAACTAATCTGATGTAATCTTAATTTTTGCCTCTCTAGGTACATCTCATTTTTCTGGCAGCCCTGTGACGTGGAGGGTGTTTCTGTCGACATCTTTTTGTCGGTTATTAAGAACTAAAATTCTACCTGGTGCTCAACGTGATGAGTAAGAATGTCTATATTCGATCTATCTATACCTCATCTCTACATTCACCTCTGCACTGACAGTATACATTCATTGACGGGTTCGCAAGAGAATCGCCTGGTATAAATCCACTGTCCACAAAGCCGCACGATGGTTTCTTCATTTTGAGTGCGCTTGCTCACTACTCAATTTTGTTGGGAGCTACTTTCCTTGATTTCGCATTTCAACTCAGTTATTACCTATAAAATGTTTGTTTAAATCTGCAGTTAAAGTTTCTGAAATTTATTTATTTACCATTTTCCACCGACATCTTTTATGCTCCGACCTGAATTCTTTAATTCTGCCAAAATGAATCTTTATTAAGCTATTGTTTTATAAATTCATATGTCCTGATTTTTATACTTCGCAACCTGTTGCTACAGAGTATAATTAGATTTTGTTCACCTAATGTTTGTAGAATACCCAAACTAATCGAGGTAGATATAGGGTTATATATATAAATGATCAGGATGAAGAGACGAGTTGAAATCCGGGTGACTGTCTGTCCGTCCGTCCGTCCGTCCGCAGCAAGCTCCAACTGAGTAAAATTGAGATAGTAAGTATATTGCAGATGGGCGTAATCGGACCACTGCCACGCCCACAAACGCCATTAATCAAAACAAATAACTTGCTATAACTAAGCTCCGCACATAAGTTACAAGACTGTCTATTTGGTACATCGGACACATTAGAGGGCATCTTTGTTAAAACTTAAAAATGGGCGTGGTCCCGCCTCTAATAGGTTTAATGTGCATATCTCCTAAACCTCTAATGCTATAATAACACACCAGAAGCAAATGCTTTTAGCACTTCTATTGACGGTGTGAAAATAGTTGAAATCGCGGCAACTCCGCCCACTCCCCATATAACGGTACGTTAAAACTACTAAAAGCGCGATAAATCAGCACTAAACACGCAGAGACATTAAATTTTATCTCTGAGATGGTAAGAGATGACTTTATAGGAACCGCGTTCAAAATTAGACAGTGGACTGGCACAGCCTTTAGGTGAAAACCCATATCTTGAGATCTGCTCAAGCGATTTCAACCAAATCTGTGCATAACGATTCATGTTTCATGTCATAGTGCGAAATGGGCGAATCGACTACAACCACGCTTACTCCCATGTAACACCATTTTAAATTCCATCTGATTCTTTCACTTTCCACTATGGAACAGGTAACAATGATTATATCGGGGTAAAACTTTGCGTGAATAATGCATAGTCATCCACCTTGCGGCCAAAATTGTCTAAATCGAACCAAAACTGTTCAAACCCCTAAGTACTAAATATGTGGACCCCAGTGCCTATAGTTGACCTTCTACCGAAAATATCAGTCAATCCACAAAGAAATCTCAAACGAGTATACCATTTGACTTTGCGAGAGTATAAAATGTCGGTTACATCCGAACTTAGCCCTTCCTTACTTGTTTTTCATAAATTCAACTATTATAGTGTTTTGTGTTCTGTTCTAATGTTTCCCATACAAAAATAAAGTTAATTTACATCGTAACAATAAAATAAACTAATTTGTTAACTTGCATTTTTTCAACCGTCTAACAGCACACAGAAATAACAACGCAATATTCAAATTTGTTAACGCTTATCTTCTTGTTTTGTTACTGATATCAAAACCGATACAAATTCTGGTTCGAATATCAAATCAATAATATCTGAATTCATGCCACCTACAGTTTTTTATCGGTTTCCATTCTGATTCCGACACCTATCAGATTCCGCAACACCCCTAATTATTTTAAATCATGCTTTTCATACCTTTATCAGTCCATATATCTGTGGTTAAGCATAAATATGAAATATTGGACACAATTGCTTGAAATCCGACAATTTCTGTCTCGTAGGATAAACTACCTCACATACCGTCACCAACATATATAGAGTAAAATCAACCAAATGTTTGAAAATTTTATGTTTAGTGATATGGGGGCTAGAGCAAGTTTTCACCCGATTTTACTTATTTTATGTACAAGGATACACTGTTATTAAAAAAATATTGACCGAATTCAACCCATTTTTGACACTCAGACATACCATCATTAGTAAAATATTCTCTCCGAATTGCAATTATATATCTCACACATTGACTGA